ATACGCATCTTTCTTTCGAAAGTCGCAAGACATAATTATGATAACAGAAGACAATTAGTCAGAACATTTGTTGCCGTTTCCCACACTGTACCATTAAATACAACTTTATTTGCTTTAGTCGAAGTGAGTTCTATTTTTTAAAGCGATTACAAATTTGAGCATCATTATTTTTTTTAGCTAGATAACTCCTTATATGAACAATTACCCGCAATTTCGCAATAATATCTATATTAAATGCAAGCTAATAGCAATATTCAATATTATTGACAACACATTAAATGCTTACACTTGGATCCAACAGTTAGGGTCTAACAGTTAGGCTACAAATGTCGCTATCTGAAATCGTTTCTTTGGCTATCACTGAGGAAATCTACATCAAGATTAATCCCGTTCGCATTTGGCAACAGCGGAATTCTCATTTCCAATTAAGTAATTATGCTAAGACGTAAGTATATACTAGCCCATCTAGGATTTTTCTTATCCTAGCTAAAATTGTCGTTTAAGTTATTTAACCCTCTCCCCCGTAATTTCACGCCAATCCCTGTTAGTTTCAACCATAACTATGTTTCATAAGTATATTTCTATCTGCCCATATACATGCATACACGGACCTGTCAAACACTGCATGGTCTTAGCTATGTAAACACGTACAGCGTTATATAGCATTGAGGATATAATTATTTTGTCATTTATTGCATGAACAAAACAAAACTACGTCCATGCCTAGTCATCAGAAAGGGTGCAAACTTAAATGTATCCCGAAGCGATCCGTAACATTTTCTTTCCAAAAATATATACAAAGAACGCGAGAATTAAACAAAAAGTTTTATTAATTAGGGTTTGAATCCGAGCAAACAAAAGTGGTCGATTGGTTTATCCTATTGTTTCATTATTCTATTGTATTGTTCTCTATAATTTAAGAATATTTTTTCGTCTCTTTTCTTAGCAAACAAAAATTCTCATTCCCCTTACTTTCATGCACGATAACTCAAACAGAGACCGCGGAGCAGGATTGCTCGCTGGGCTTTAGCCCCACCTGCCCCACCAATAATTTTTCCGGCGTAATTTCGAATATTTTTTAGTTCGCTCAAATTTACAAGCAACATATTATTAGCAATTTGTATTTTTTGCTGACGTCAAGTATATGCAGTGTATCTTATCTTGAATACTATCTTTTACTTCTTAAAAGTATATTTTATTCTAATTTCCAACGATATCTGTCGTAATAAATACTCGAAATATATTCGACCATGGTCGAGTCTACCGTTTTCCGGCACATTTGACCATGGTCGAGTATACCGTTTTCCGGCCATATTCGATGCTTGCAGGTTGCAACTTTATATAGATGTTTGTATAATTATGAGCATCAAACATGTTTGAAACTTTACATAGGACCAACATTTGACCATTAAAACCACCGTTTAAGCCAAACACCTTTCGAACAACCGCCCCCTGGTGAATAAATGTGAAATATTCTGGTATTTTTAGTTTGCTATTCCAGGGACACTCAGTATTGTTGCAGGAACTAAAAACGGTGTTGTGGTAAAGGGAAATTGATATTGCATATATTTTTTGCCTAACATGCAGCAGATGATAACCAGTAGAAGCACAGCTAAAAGATACGTTAACAGTAGATAGGTACACGTATCTCAAGGGATATTACGTTGTTTGAAACGAGAAGCAATCGAGGGCAATAAAAATAAACCTAAAGACCTGATTTACCGTCTGGTGAAAGGTTTGTACAGGTTTGCATTTTAAAGCGCGTATTTTAATAAAATAAAAAAATGGTTATATGTTCCACATACTGTATAATTATTCTGTAAAAAGTGTCAAACTGCCACAGGCAAAACGTCAAAGCAAAAAACCCACACACCCACCAAGGTCAAATTGACGTTCCTCGTGGCAAGTTGAGTATGGATGCCACCCTTTACCAGTAGCAGAATTTTGAGTTTAGTTCGTAACGAATTTAGAGTACGTTCGGTTTACTATTAAATTGTATCAATACTAATCAAAATTAATACCTTCCAATATCTGCTCGCATTCTTTGACCACACTAGCGATTTCTTCGAGCAAACTTGTCGTTTCTTGATTCTTATTAAAACGTATGAATTGGTGTGAGCTCTCGAAGAATGTATTGATTTGCATAATATGCGTGCGATATTCTTTTTACCTCGGTACCGTTTAGGTAAATAATAAAATGTCTGATAAATGCGGATGCCTCAGGCGATGGTATTGTCCATGACAGATGAACAGAGAAATTTGATGGTTTAGCAACAACATTTTCATCAGGAGCCAGAGATTGTACTGGGGGAAAGATGGAATTAATTCAGTTCGATGAAACATTGAACTGACAAATTTAAAAACTGACAAACCGCACCTTCTCCGCAGAGTTCTATTCTGAGACAAAAGTCTGTGTTTCCAGTTGATTCTATCTTAATATATCTCACATTATAAATATCAACGTCCGTAGTCGATGCTTGAAAGCTGTACAGGTTTCCTGTTATCTAAAAGAGGATTAAGTTCAAATTGACGTTTCTCGTGGCAAGTTGAGCATGGATGCCACCCCTTACCAGTAGCAGAATTTTGAGTTTAGTTCGTAACGAATTTAGAGTACGTTCGGTTTACTATTAAATTGTATCAATACTCAACAAAATTAATACCTTCCAATATCTGCTCGCATTCTTTGACCACACTAGCGATTTGTTCGAGCAAACTTGTCGTTTCTTGATCCATATTAAAACGTATGAATTGAAAATAATCGATAAAATATCAGCGTCAGTGAAGACACGTTACACAACAGCGAAGAAAATTTGAAAAGGACGCGCTTCTTACCCACAATGCCTTAGCGTTTTTTCATTAAACCGCGCGATCACACGCGATATGTCGCGCACACGAAGTTAGGTCGCAATCAATGCTCCTTTCCATGATAATTAAAATTAAAAATATCAATATTTGACTTTTGCATTGTAAAACTTACTTTTAGTATATCAAATATTATTGTACATGAGTAGTGAATTAAGGTGATTTTTCTAGTGCAATAACCAAGCGCACCTATTGAAAGGCAAAATGTGACACATTTCTCTCTGGATGACATTTGTTTCTAAACAGCTTCTATATTGTAAAAATTGTTGTACATAGGACTTAGCTAGATATAATTCATGAAGGGAGGCGGAAATTCGTTTATTGTAAATAATAATAAATCTATTGTATAGTAATTTTTTACTATACACCATTTAGCTCTTGTTTTCAAAATAATCTTCTTATTCCAAGAAATTATTTTCTTGAAACGAGGATCAGATAAGGCAAGCTTTCTTATTTTAAGAAATATTTGGGATATTGCTTTATGAAGGGAGGCGAAAATTCGTTCATTGTAAATAATGATAATTCTATTGTATAGTATTTTTTTACTATACCCCATTTAGCTCTTGTTTTCAAAATAATCTTCTTATTCCAAGAAATTATTTTCTTGAAACGAGGATCAGATAAGGCAAGCTTTCCTATTTTAAGAAATATTTGGGATATTGCTCAAAATTATTTTTCTCATATTCACAATTTCAGAAGTTAAGATAATCTTTCTTATGTGAAGAAATTATTTTCTCAGTTTAAGAAAAAAATTTCCAATTCATAAGAATACAATTTCTTGTGTTAAAATCTGTAAATCTGTGGGCTGACCACTTTCTCATTTTGAGAAATTACTTTTCTAAACGAGATTTTATATCCTGGAATTAGAAAAAATTATCAGTCTAAGAAAAATTTTCTTTACATAAGAAAAAAATTCTTAAAATAAGATATATTTTCTCAATAAGAAAATGATTTTTTGCTATGTATAATTCTACTCGAAATTAAGACCCCTTAAAGCATCTAGAATTATACACGTAAACTCACAGCGGCAATGAAATATTTCAACAAACTTGTATATTCATAATTTTTCACCTGGGGTCACCTTCGTCTTTATACTTTTGCTCCACCCTGTGGAGTAGTAGGAATTCTAGACGAAAGGAAAAGACATGTAGTTAACTCTAGGATCCAATGAAAACAAATTTATTATTTATACATGCTATATCACATTCATTCATTTACCTGGCTTTCAAAGAATCTCAGGAACACGTTGTAACTTGTGTTTGGTTGAAGAGGTTGATTAACGTATGTTACGTTTTCATAGCTGTATTTTTTGCCATCACCGATCACGAACGACAAAGGGAGAACGTCTGCTCTCAAATAAGCAGTGATATAAAGATCTTGAGTGTCTGATTGGTACGGTCTCAGTTTACTTGTTTTTATGTCTTCACTAGGTGTTTGACTACTTGACGTTGCTCTTTGAACAATAATCAGTACTTCTCTGAATGGAGAAAACATGACTGATGTTAACACACCTGCTTCGACAAAATGTTACGCCTGAAATATATACGTACCTTATATAGGGCGCTGCCTTAGGTATCGTTAAACCAAGATCAAAGTGGGACATCACAACAGGGTTCACAGGCTCTACATCATAAAACAACACATGTTAATTTCACTTTGGAGTAAAAAGTTAACAATTTTTTATGTCGTTCGGCCATGCTGTACGCTTTTTAAAAAGTCCTTTTTTATTTTCTTTACCTCCATTTGTTATTTCACTTATTTCTGAGCTTGTGTTTCCAAAACCAATTTTTGTACCAGCCGAGACTGTCATAAAGTATTTTTTTGAAGGAATAAGATTAGAAATAACGTATGTTAAGGTAGAAAAAACCTTTATGTTTGAACATTTCGGACTTTCATCATTTTCCTTTCTAGAAAAACAAATCTGATATCCCACCAATTCACCGTTCCAAAATATCTTATCAGGCGCTCTCCAAGAAATTTCGAGCGAGTTTTTACTACGAGATTTAATCATAACACTGCGTGGAGCTCCACTTGGAACTATGATAGTAAAGAATAAAAACTATTATTTGAATTTGAATTATTCAGAAAAAATCAAAAGCCTCTCTACATTATGCATACCAGCTTCTTTGGTCTTGAACTTATGGTAAACTATTGTCTGAGTATTCTTTAGTTGACCATCCTGTGTCTTTATGCCAACAACATAATTAGTGTTTGGTGTGAGCTCTCGAAGAATGTATTGATTTGCATAATATGCGCGCGATATTCTTTTTACCTCGGTACCGTTTAGGTAAATGATAAAATGTGTGATGAAAGTGGATGCAACAGGCGATGGTATTGTCCATGACAGATGAACAGAAAAATTTGATGGTTTAGCAAAAACGTTTTCAACAGGAGCCAGAGATTGCACTGGGAGAAAGATGGAATTAATTCAGTTCGAAGAAACATTGAACTGACAAATTTAAAAACTGACAAACCGCACCTTCTCCGCAGAGTTCTATTCTGAGACAAAAGTCTGTATTTCCAGTTGATTGTATCTTGATATATCTCGCATTATAAATATCAACGTCCGTAGTCGATGCTTGAAAGCTGTACATGTTTCCTGTTATCTAAAAGAGGATTTAGGAAGAAACGCACTTTCTTATTTCATAGGCCAGATTAAAAAATATCGCCTAAAAGCAAGAAATTTTTATCCGCGTTTGAGCCAGTAATTTTGCAAAAAAATTATAATTGCAGTCTTTATATAAACTAAGTTTCATTACAGCAGAATATTGATCACGCATCAAGGACACTCACGTAGCTACTAACCTGTAAACCACTACCACCGTCTACCAAACTTTCATTATGACTGTATTTCAATGAATAAGATCCACTCGACTTTGTCTGATCTTTATCACCCATAATCATTACGCGTGTTATGTGATATTCGTTTAGAAGGTCAATCTTAAGATATTTGTTTCCAGACTCGGTTGGACACCAACCATTGCTAGAAAATCTCGCTTCTTTGTACTTGGTATTGTCAGTAGAACCACTTCCAGAAAATACAGTGTCTGGAAACTTAGTTTCGTTCTGTAACAATGGGTTCTCGCATATCTCACTGCCTAAATAAGACATAAATTAAAGTGGTATAGTAAGTATATATTGAATTTTGTGGCGGGAAGCCAGATACCGCTATACTTTTTCTTCCATGATTGCCGGTTAATTCGTTTTAACTGGAACACATGCAGAGGTATAGATCATACGTACTCACATGTGAAATATGGCAACTTGATGTCAGGAGCGACCGTAGAAAGTAGAAGATGGGTACAACAAGGGGTATTGCTTGATTTTGTGTTGTTATAACAGAGATCACCGGTTGCAATAACTTGTCTGTTTCCAATTTCCTTTGTACTGACATTGTTCCAACTTGTCCCAATGAATCCTAAACGCTCACACAGGATGTTTTCCCGGTTCTTAAACGGAATTTCTTCATTAACTTTTCTCCAAGTGGAACCGTTTTTTATTTCAAGGAAACCTTTGTTAGGTGACTTGGATAATCTTATGTTGGTAGCTAAAATAGAAACAATATTTCCTGTCATAGAATATATCACCAGAATCTATACCTTTCCCAGAGCAGTCTGTATTAAAGTTCATATTACCTGTTGTTATGGGTTCTACGTAATTATCCACACACGTGTATTCAACATAAAGTTCTTTTGCAATATCAGGGCAATATTTTGATGGCAGTAAATTATTGTTGACGGTCAGTTCACAGGAACTTTTTCCACTACAAAGAGGTTTCACCTGACAGTTTGTTAGTCTACTACACTGCGCATCAATGGCTGCATTCACATCAAATGTCCTGCTTTTATTGAAATCACCATAATGAGCTTTGTGGATCACCATACGCTGTTTTGGAGAACATTGAACACCTTTCATTTCGTCGCCGTACTGCGTTACTGAACCTAAAATCGCACAGACCAATACATTATATTACATTAGTATTGCATCAAAATAACTGTCATAGTTATTCTACTCATTTTATCCCTGAACTCCAATTCAATTTTTAACATTATTGTGCAAGAAACAAGAGCTAGGTCACACGGAAACGAGGGCACGAAAACGTGACAAACGAAAATTTAGAACGTCAATAATGGATTAGAAAACCTGTTATAAAACCTGTTATGTTAGTTCCACTGTAAAAATCTGAAGTGTAAACGTCTTACCAAAAGTAAACTTTTGTTCTGCTGTGTCGCTGCATGAAGTATTTTTCACGTCAACATACTGTCCACTAGGCCCAGGCTGAACACAATTTTTCACTTCGTAAAGAAATAGAGATCCACCAACTGTTTGTTTTATACGATGTTTTGTGTTGTTTGCATAATCTCTCCCAGCCTGATTTTTACCACCATATAGAAACAAACGATTTTTGTAGTTTGTATTACCATATTCAGACGCGACGTTCCCTCCCGTCTCGATATTGTGCAACAGATTGTTATCGAGGTAACGAAACAGCGCAGTATCATTCAAGCAGTTGGTGACCATTTCAGCCCAATAACGGAAGGCATAGCTATCATCTCGAAAGGCTGTAGTTTCAGCGGCGAGACACATTCCTGACTGAGTGTGTCTGATAAAAAACCCTTGACAACGCGAAAATAGGCAATGCGCGTTAATTCACCGGCCAACGAGGTGGTGGATACGGGATTACCAGCGGCTTAGAAACCAGGGACAGGTATTTACATGAACTCTGAGTGGTACTGAAACGCTGTTTAATTATTTTTGTTTATTATGGCCCTATTAAATAGCATACCAATCATGATTGCTACACCATGCCTATAATTATATTAACTCGTGCAATCTAAACTTATCGTGCTTTCTATTCTAGTATACCTTACCAGCTCTTTTAGTTTTAAAGCTTTTATAAACTATTGTGGACGTCATGGAAATTCCATCCTGTGTCTTTATGCCAACTTTATAATAAGTGTTCGGGTTGAGACTTCGAAGAATGAAATGATTTCCATATTGAGCACGGGATATTCTTTCTCTCTCTGTGCCGTTATTCAAATAAATGATGAAATGAGTTATATAAGAAGACGTTTCAGCCGCTGGTATTGTCCACGTTAGATTGACAGAATAGAACGATGGTTCGGCGAGAATCCTTTGTACGGGAGCTGGCGTTTGGACTGGAATGAAAGAAAAGTAAACAAAACGCAAGTCGCAAGTTTCATTATACCTACTACAGCAGGTGAACATGCTTGATCTCTACATCTTATAAATTTAAACTAAAAAAACATTTTAAATAGTGAAAATCGGAACTTTTGTGATCATCATCCATCATCCTGTCCGATATTTATTGTTTCAGAAGATTTCGGGCGATTCTACCGACTCACCTTCACCACACACTTCTATTCTAAGGCAAAAGTTTGTTCCTCCGTTTGACTTCAACTTCATGTATCGGACATTATAAATATCCACGTCTGTGGCTGATACTTGATAAGCGTTTTGATTTCCATTTATCTAGAAAGATATTGGAAAATATGAATAACTTCAGTTACGATAACGTCCTTCGATTGCTTTCCAAGTTGTAGTCGGATTTAGCAATAAAGGTGGTTAGTGGAGCCACGAACGAAAAGCTCCTTACATTGTTCTGCAAAACCTCCCAAGTCAGTGGAAAAATTGAGTAGCCATGAATATGCTACTAGGTATCTCTGCTTTACGCTACAATTCGTTTTCTTGTGTATTTTTAGGCATTTGAAATAATCTTGATAACTTCACTCATTATGATATTATTATTCATCTATATATTTCTTATTCTAGCTTATACACCTGCACTTCATCACCGCCATCCACCAAACTTTCATCATGACTGTATTTCAATGAATATGATCCACTCCACTTTGTCTGATCTTTATCACCCATAATCATAACTTGTGTTATGCGATAGTCGTTTTGAAGGTCAATCTTAAGATATTTGTCTCCAGACTCGGTTGGACACCAACCATCGCTAGAAAATCTCGCTTCTTTGTACTTGGTATTTTCAGTAGAACCATTTCCAGAAAATACTGTGTCTGGAAACTTAGTTTCGTTCTGTAACAATGCGTTCTCGCATATCTCACTGCCTAAATAAGAGATAAATAAAGTGGTATAGTAAGTTTATTGAATTTTGTGGGGGGAAGCCAGATACCGCTATACTTTTTCTTCCATGATTGCCGGTTAACTTCGTTTAACTGGAACACATGCAGAGGTATAGATCATATGTACTCACATGTGAAATATGGCAACTTGATGTCAGGAGCGACCGTAGCAAGTAGAAGATGGGTACAACAGGGGGTATTGCTTGATTTTGTGTTGTTATAACAGAGATCACCGGTTGCAATAACTTGTCTGTTTCCAATTTCCTTTGTACTGACATTGTTCCAACTTGTCCCAATGAATCCTAAACGCTCACACAGGATGTTTTCCCGGTTCTTAAACGGAATTTCTTCATTAACTTTTCTCCAAGTGGAACCGTTCTTTATTTCAAGGAAACCTTTGTTAGGTGACTTTGATAATCTTATGTTGGTAACTAAAATAGAAAAAGTATTTCATAGAATATATCGTCAGAATTTATACCTTTTCCAGAGCAGTCTGTATTAGAGTTCATATTACCTGTTGTTATGGGTTCTACGTAATTATCCACACAAGTGTATTCAACATAAAGTTCTTTTGCAATATCAGGGCAATATTTTGATGGCAGTAAATTATTGTTGACGGTCAGTTCACAGGAACTTTTTCCACTACAAAGAGGTTTCACCTGACAATTTGTTAGTCTACTACACTGCGCATCAATGGCTGCATTCACATCAAATGTCCTGCTTTTATTGAAATCCCCATAATGAGCTTTGTGGATCACCATACGTGTTTTGGAGAACATTGAACACCTTTCATTTCGTCGCCGTACTGCGTTACTGAACCTAAAATCGCACAGACCAATACATTATATTACATTAGTATTGCATCAAAATAACTGTCATAGTTATTCTACTCATTTTATCCCTGAACTCCAATTCAATTTTTAACATTATTGTGCAAGAAACAAGAGCTAGGTCACACGGAAACGAGGGCACGAAAACGTGACAAACGAAAATTTAGAACGTCAATAAAGGATTAGAAAACCTGTTATAAAACCTGTTATGTTAGTTCCACTGTAAAAATCTGAAGTGTAAACGTCTTACCAAAAGTAAACTTTTGTTCTGCTGTGTCGCTGCATGAAGTATTTTTCACGTCAACATACTGTCCACTAGGCCTAGGCTGAACACAATTTTTCACTTCGTAAAGAAATAGAGATCCACCAACTGTTTGTTTTATACGATGTTTTGTGTTGTTTGCATAATCTCTCCCAGCCTGATTTTTACCAGCATATAGAAACAAACGATTTTTGTAGTTTGTATTACCATATTCAGACGCGACGTTCCCTCCCGTCTCGATATTGTGCAACAGATTGTTATCGAGGTAACGAAACAGCCAGTATCATTCAAGCAGTTGGTGACCATTTCAGCCCAATAACGGGAGGCATAGCTATCATCTCGAAAGGCTGTAGTTTCAGCTTCGAGACACATTCCTGACTGAATGTGTCTGATAAAAAACCCTTGACAACGCGAAAATAGGCAATTAACGCTTAATTCATCGGTTAATGAAGGGGTGGATACGGGATTACCAGCGGCTTAGAAACCATGCAGGGACAGGTATTTACCTGAACTCTGAGTGGTACTGAAACGCTGTTTAATTATTTTTGTTTATTATGGCCCTATTAAATAGCATACCAATCATGATTGCTACACCATGCCTATAATTATAATAACTCGTGCAATCTAAACTTATCGTGCTTTTTATTCTAGTATACCTTACCAGCTCTTTTAGTTTTAAAGCTTTTATAAACTATTGTGGACGTCATGGAATTTCCATCCTGTGTCTTTATGCCAACTTTATAATAAGTGTTCGGGTTGAGACTTCGAAGAATGAAATGATTTCCATATTGCACGGATATTCTTTCTCTCTCTGTGCCGTTATTCAAATAAATGATGAAATGAGTTATATAAGAAGACGTTTCAGCCGCTGGTATTGTCCACGTTAGATTGACAGAATAGAACGATGGTTCAGCGATAATCTTTTGTACAGGAGCTGGCGTTTGGACTTGAATGAAAAAAAAAGTAAACAAAACGCAAGTCACAAGTTTGCATTATTCTACAGCAGGTGAACATGCTTGATCTCTACATCTTATAAATTTAAACTAAGAAAACATTTTAAATAGTGAAAATCGGAACTTTTGTGATAACTGTTTCTTTTTTACACTAATTAATTTAACATAAATACATGTTTTACATTTCTTTTTCTTCTTTCGATAGTGTAATCATCATCCTGTCCGATATTTATTGTTTCAGAAGATTTCGGGCGATTCTACCGACTCACCTTCACCAAACACTTCTATTCTAAGGCAAAAGTTTGTTCCTGCGTTTGACTTCAACTTCATGTATCGGACATTATAAATATCCACGTCTGTAGCTGATACTTGATAAGCGTTTTGATTTCCATTTATCTAGAAAGATATTGGAAAATAGGAATTACTTCAGTTACGATATCGTCCTTTGATTGCTTTCCAAGTTGTAGTCGGATTTAGCAATAAAGATGGTTAGTGGAGCCACGAACGAAAAGCTCCTTATATTGTTCTTCAAAAGCTGCCAATAATTTCCGGCGTATGTACCTAGTCAGTAGAAAAATTGAGTAGGCATGAATATGCTGATAGGTATCTCTGCTTTACACTACAATCGTTTTTTTGTGTATTTTTAAGCAATTGAAATAATCTTCATAACTTCACTCATTATGATATTAACATTAATCTATATATTTCTTATTTTTATACACCTGCACTTCATCACTGCCATTCAGCAAACTTTCATCATGACTGTAATTCAATGAATATGATCCACTCCATTTTGTTTGATTTTTATCACCCATAACCATAACTCGTGTTATGTGATACTCGTTTTGAAGGTCAATCTTAAGATATTTGTCTCCAGACTTTGTTGGACACCAACCATCGCTAGAAAATCTCGCTTCTTTGTACTTGGTATTGTCAGCAGAACCACTTCCAGAAAATATCGTGTCTGGAAACTTGGTGTGGTTCTGTAATAATGCATTCTCACATATCTTGCCTAAAACGAGAACGGTTTTTTGATCTGACACGTGATTATCCTGTGATTTGTGTTTAAGCCGGATGAAAATATTAAAATTATATAAAAAAACCCTATATACTTTACTCACATTTCACATATGGCGCCTTAACTGTTGTCGTTGTTGTAGAGGGATAAAGGTGGACACAACATCTCTCGTTTTGAGGTACGTCATAACATAAGTCACCACTTGCAATTTCACGACCTGGCTCGATTCCCTCAGTCCTAACAATGCTCCCTACGGTCCCTTTAAATCCAAAGTGCTGACACAGCGATTTTTCAAGAGTGATGTCCCAGGTTTCGTCTATCATTTTTCTCCAAGTGGAACCGTCATTTATTTCAATGAAACCTTCGTTCGGTGACTTTGATAATCTCATGTTGGGAGCTAAAACTGTCGAACAATGTATATCATTTCAAATTAAAGTTTTTGTCCGAGCATTTTGTATCAGAGTTCCCAAATTCCTCGATCTGAAATTGCGAGGAATTTCGTGGGAAATTTTTGGATTAAACGATCAGGATCAAGTTGATCGGAATCGGCCGAAGAAATTTTTTCTATCGTTGGGCTACTTATAGCAGTATAAAATGTAAAAAGACTGAACGATAAGGAATCATACCTGTTGTTATGGGACTCATATAATTATCCACACAAGTGTACTCGATATAAAGTTCTTTCGTTGTGTCAGGACAATATGGTGATGATAGTAAATTATTGTCAATGGTCAGTTCACAAGATCTGTTTCCACCACAGAGGGATTTCACTTCACAACTTGCTTGTCGACTACATTTCTTATCAATCGTTGCACCGGCATTGAATGTTGTAGCATCAATGAAATCTCCATATTGAGCTTTGTGGATCACCATACGTTGTATTGGAGAACAATGAACATCTTTTATTTTGTCGCCGTACTGAGTTGCTGAACCTAACAATGGAGAAGTTTACAAAAAATGCATATCATGTCATATTGGAAACAAAGACAACAAACAGAAGAGACACTCGGCCCATAGAACGTGCTTTGACTTTTCGCAATAAATTAATGTCGCACATGCCAGTAATGCGATGCATAATGCGATATGCCTGGCGATAAAAATAAAAGGCTCCGTCCGACATGATCAGCGCGGCAGAATATTCCCTGTACAGAGACGACATAAAGTTTAACACTAGTTTTTTTCCCTATCTATAGATTTTCCATATCTACTGTATAGTGTGTCGTAATGATCATAACATGAACATCTGATCAAGAGAATGGGAAATATGAAGAGCACTAATGGTACAAGTTAAAAGGAATACTCCATTATTTATTCCAGGGCCTTTTTAACTTTATAACTGGGGCCTCCATTTATACCCCCCCCTCTCCCGTTCCCACTGATGGATTTTCGCTCCCCCCAGTGAATGAGATATTTTCTCTTTATTTCCCCTTTCCCTCTCAATCATGACAAAAGGTCCCTTTTGTCGTCTTCCTCCCGCCCCCCCGACGAAGAAATCCTTAAAAAGGCACTGCATGGTTTAGTCCCCTCTTTTTAATGACTTAATCTTCCCCCCGCAATCTGTGCTAGTTTACACGGTTCTTTTTTGAAGGCCGGCAAAAGATTTTTAAATTAATTAACTAAACAGCAAGATAACGGTGAGCAGTCAGTTGAAAGGATACCCCCTCTGATTACAACTTACAGACTACAGAATGCATGTTGCACTTATACAGAAAGAAACGACCCGATTTATAAGTTCAATGACAAAGTAATTTTACTTACCGAAAGTTATTTTTTGTGCTGCCACTTGGTGCATGAAGTATTTTTCACGTCAACATACTGCACACTAGGCTGCACACAATTATCCACCTTGTAAAGAAATAGAGATTCACCGGCTGTTTGTTTTATACGATGTATTGTGCTGTTTGCAAAATCTCTACCACCCTTATTGTTCCCGTCATATATAAACAAACGATTACTATATGAACCATAAGAAGCACGACGTTTCCTTCTGTCTCGATATTATGCAATACTTCGTTATCCAGATAACGGAACAACGCAAGATCACTCAAGCAGTTGGTGACCATTTCAATCCAATAACGTGTGCCATATTTATCTTTTAGAAAGTCTGGGTTTTAGCTGCGAGACACTTTCTGACTGAGTGTGTCTAAGAAAAAACCCTTAACAACCAAAGAATAAAAATGAGTTTTTTAACATTCCCTCTAATACAGATCATACGACCTTAAGATCTTCATTCTTGAGGGTGGATAAAAAAGCCAAAAACACATCCTAAATCATAATCGGAAGGATGCCTGATCATAATTCACGATTGAATATTCAAAAATTTTATTTCACATCACTTTTAGTGTCGACAGAGAAAATTAGAACATAATTTTTAGAATGCGGTTAGTTGCAAATATGTTGAATTAGCTACTACCGCATTTCCGGTGTTATTATACTCTTGTGCAAAATATTGTACTTGCTGTAATACAACCTTCACAGTAGCAGTGTTGAAGTAAAAAGGACAGTATACTAAGCCTTTATTATTAGCGTGCAAAACCAAATCAAAATGACGTAATAGGGGAAAATGGAGACATGCAGTTAGTTTCTAAATCAACAATCTAAATTTACTACAAACGTATTAAAGCTGACTTTAAACCAAAGCGTAGAAGTAGGAGTAAAAGCAACAGGTAGAGTGGCTCACTCAATAATTATAAGCCCA